ATGGCCACACCATTCCGCTTGGTGTCTTCCCCATTGTAGTAGAGTTTGACACCTTCCCGATTTCCCTGGCCTTAGCCCCTTTCCATCGCGTCTCCTGAAGGCATAGGACTTGGATATTCTGCGCGTCATCAGATCAGCAACCTCTCGGGACTTCCCAGTTAGCGATCCTACGTTCAGAGTCCCAATTCGAACTAGCTTCTTTGGCCGAGGCCGTTCACTCCTCGGTAGCCCTCGCATACTGACCACAGAACTCGGGCGGGGGTTCTGCGCGCCACTTCCGGGTGACGTCCTAGCTTGATCCTTTTCGACTTTAGACATGTTTGTGTGACTGGGGTCTTCATCAGCCGGCCTGTCAACCTGGGCCTGACGCTGGTACTAGAACCATTTTTGCAATTTTTGCAAGGCATGGTTTAGAGCCTCGGCAGGGATCGAACTCGCGGTTTTCAGAGGTGCAGACATGAGTCTAACCTCTTAACCACTCGGCTATCCCTGCCTTTTCCTATGAAATCGATGTAATATCATAAAAAGTAGCGAGACAACGAGCTGGACGGTTGGCTGAAATTGCAAAGGTGGATGCTACGTCAACAAACATGTTGCGGATTTTCGGAGTTCTTCAAAAATTCTCTAGCATCGAATGTAATTTGTTGCAAGACTAATGGACCGACAAAAAGAAATTTCAAAATCTGCGCACTGCACAGTTGAGCGCTGCCCACATACGCATGGTCTACCCATTCAAAACTTCCCGCCCTCGTTAGATGATTTTTAGCAGAATTTACAAACTTGTGGGGACACTTGCGAACAGTGAGGAGCCCTCATTTTTTGGTCTCTGGGATGTTTTGGAAGCGTATTGGACTATCTTTCGCCAGCTACGCCTATTTGAACGGATGACTCGTCCACTTTTTCGGTTCTCGAACCACATCCGACAATTTTTTTCATCAAAACTGCCCATTTGGACGCATACTCCGCTCACTGAGGGCAGAGTTTCTCAAAGTCCAATATATTCCTCCTTATAGAGCGACTCATACTCTACCCATTCCAAACTTGACCCGCCCTCCCTAGGTGATTTTTGAAGGAAGAATTATAAACATGTGGGGGACACTTGCGAATTGTGGGGAGCGGGCATACAAATAAACTCTGGTTCTAAAGTAGTATGATACTATTCATGCAGCTTTTTGGACACTCAGAGAACTTTTTTCAGCTGATATTCCTCATTCTACAGCACGCTTTGGTGCTGGGTCAGCAGGATCCGGGTGACGGCGATTACGATTATGGTAGAATTACCAATCATACAACATTTGCTTTGTCAAGGTACTTTTTGAGTGTCAAAAAAGCTAATCAAGGCAACACCGGCAATAATCAAGGAAACACCGGCAATAATCAAGGAAACACCGGCAATAATCAAGGAAACACCGGCAATAATCAAGGAAACACCGGCAATAATCAAGGAAACACCGGCAATAATCAAGGCAAACACCGGCAATAATCAAGGAAACACCGGCAATAATCAAGGAAACACCGGCAATAATCAAGGAAACACCGGCAATAATCAAGGCAACACCGGCAATAATCAAGGAAACACCGGCAATAATCAAGGCAAACACCGGCCCTATCAAGGAAACACCGGCAATAATCAAGGAAACACCGGCAATAATCAAGGCAACACCGGCCCTAATCAAGGAAACACCGGCAATAATCAAGGAAACACCGGCAATAATCAAGGAAACACCGGCAATAATCAAGGCAACACCGGCCCTGATCAAGGAAACACCGGCAATAATCAAGGAAACACCGGCAATAATCAAGGAAACACCGGCAATAATCAAGGAAACACCGGCAATAATCAAGGAAACACCGGCAATAATCAAGGCAACACCGGCAATAATCAAGGAAACACCGGCAATAATCAAGGAAACACCGGCAATAATCAAGGCAACACCGGCCTAATCAAGGAAACACCGGCAATAATCAAGGAAACACCGGCAATAATCAAGGCAAACACCGGCAATAATCAAGGAAACACCGGCAATATCAAGGAAACACCGGCAATAATCAAGGAAACACCGGAATAATCAAGGAAACACCGGTAATAATCAAGGCAACACCGGCCCTATCAAGGAAACACCGGCAATAATCAAGGAAACACCGGCAATAATCAAGGCAACACCGACCCTAATCAAGGCAACACCGGCAATAATCAAGG